ATTAAGCCTCTTGACAAGTCTGATTTGATAATTCCCTAATTGAGGCCACGAGGTTCTACGTTACAAATATTAAGACGACTTCTTTGACTTGATCTAGATTAAACCGTTGGTGAATTTCGAATGGAAAGGTGTGTTTCCCCAGACCTGCACGATGACACCAACACCCGTGGTCTCCTTGACGCCTCTCAAATTAAAAGGCTGTTCAAAGATTGGCTGTGTAATAACAGCGTATAGTCCTTTTCTGGTATTTGGCATCTGTAGTATTTTTAGAAGCAATCGAATTTAGTATGTCAAAAATATTTATAATCCCAACAGTTGTAAACAAGTTGGGTGGCTGAGTGGTTACAATGCTTTGCTACTCAAGTATACCGGTTCGATCTTCGAATCTAGTCTATTGATCTATTTGTACGGACAGTATTTTATAAATTGCTTAGTCCATGCGTATTCGTATTTATGCTCCCAGGCCAACTGCTAATAGCAAAGGATTCAAACGAACATAAGTTAAAACACTAAAAAAACTACATTAAAAACTACTCGAATGAGATTATTGCAGGGGCTCAATTGTGAAACATTTTCCAAAATCGAGCATTATCGCGATGGGCCGAAAGTTGATGGAGGAGACTCAGTCGCCAGCCAACTACTGACCATCCTGTTGTTCAAACCGGTCTGCTCGTGACAACGGTTCAGCCGAGGCCGTATTTTATCACCGACTCACGGACGTCGAACGTGGACTTGGGTGAGAGTGAGCTTGGACTGAATCTCACAGCTACGAAAATATCGGTGCAATATCAATGAAAACATTTGGCATTTTACTTCAAAATCACCTATTGATTACATCACTTCTTTCACGGCTTTTTCGCGATGTTGTCAAGTTCATGACAATTACTTGAGTAAAATGCAAAAGTTGGTAATCCCTAATGTGATTCTGTAACAACGAAGACCCGGCTAAAACGTAGAGCAAAACATTTTCTAAGCACATGTTTAGTAAGCCACTTAGCCCATCCAAAGTAAACCTATTGAATTCAAAAAGATTTGTAGCTCCTTTTAAGGTGTCATTTGTCTATCCACAGGGCCTCAGACTCACCAGTGTTTTTTTTTTTTTGTGATTTGGGAAAAACATGAGAAAATGGAATTTCTGTTAATGATTTATATTCTGTAAGGTAGCCTTCAGTTATAAAGCAAAAATGTCCACATTAAAACAGACGACACAGGTATAGTTCAAGTAAAACTTTTAACTGTGAAATATTATTGTGAGTTGATATTAAGTTTCAGTATGTAAGGCAAACCATGGCTACCAACCTCAGCCTCTCCCAAAGTTCAGGGTTCAGGGCCGCCAATGTACCGGCTCCAAAACCGAACGGCCTCCGAGACAGTGTTTGAGTCACTGCTCTGCGGTCAAGTTTTGAAACAGCAATCATCGATTTCGACGATTACGACCGGTCAAACCCTCATTCATTTCGAGTATATCGTTTATTATAATGAGCTCGTAAACTAAATAATTGACTAACCGCTCAAATAAGAATGTTGCATGACACGTTCTGAAAGGTTTCCCTAGCTACGTCAGCAGCGAACAATATAGTTGTGGTTGAAATTTTAGCACTAATGAAGTTTAGGCTTAATGAAAATAATATACTTACCTCATAAGAATATGTAACACAATACATACGTAATGCTTTGACTGCAGAGTACATACCAATTTTTCATGTAGCTTTCTTCTTAGCTTACCTACTTATTTTCTTCTTTTACTCATCGCAAGTTGCTGGAACGTTACCTGAAAGTTTGGATTCAGTTTATTTGTGACATTCAATGGTAACCGTCAGTCAACTCTCCAACAAGATCCACACAAAACTAAATCATTTTGTTCGTTGTTTTGTTTTTATATATTTAATTTAAGGCGTGAACAGGAATTATAAAGCCTTTTCACAAAGAATAAAACAGCCACAAGGACTAGTTATACAACACTAGCTTCTTATGAGGAATCAATACCTTTGATAGACTAAGATTCTTCCAACATCCAACTTGCATAAAAATATTTAAAAACTCCAAATATCTTGCTAGGCACCTGATTCATGCGCTTCAGTTAATATTCTGTAATTACCACTTTCCATCGGTTTAAGTATTTCGATTTGATTAATCTAGTTTGTTTTCATTACCATCAAAGGATTGGAATGTTTTGCAATATGCAACTCATAAGGCGTGTCATACGGAAATAGTAAGTTTGTAGGCTGAAACCTCCATCTTGTCTTGTCAAGTAGTTCACCATCACCACCCGTTATTGTTAACAAGATTGTTGATTGTTGTTTGTTTTTGTCCTTGTTCTCGGGAATGTCTGTGAATCAACAATATTGTCAGTCATTGTAACGGGAAAAGCAATGGGTAATTATTTTGCTCATTGAGCCGTGCGGTTGTTACTCATTCTGGTTGATGACTTAATTATTCAACTGGTAAGGTTTGATGGGTCAAAATTAAAATATTAGAAACAAAACATCCACTTCCACTTAAACCACATGGTAGTTTTAAGTCATGTATGTGTGTGTGTGTTTTCGTAAATTACATTCTCTGCTTTTTTTGTTTGAATACTCATTGAAATTAAATTGCTTATTTCAATTTTGTACTAATTATATATAACGCTATAGATAAAGCATATATATTGTTTCCAATAGAATTAATAATACAAAATTTCAGGTTAGAAGCCATGATTGTACCTACAGAAAGAAAATCCCGCCGATTAACTTTTATTGATATGCTTAGGGAAACCAAGACAAGAATCCAATCCATTTTGTCGGATTACTATTAAATTTGCTAAGGTTTCTTTCAATACCATTACGTTTTGACAATTATGTGTTATGTGTCGGGAAATTTGACTTCTGCTGTGAAGTAGACATCCTATTACCTACCAACTTATTAAACCATAATAAGTAAACAAATATTATGGTGGTGATTGTGTATTGGAGTGACTGTGTACTTAATTAATCAGTATGTATATATTTTAGAACACCAAGAATGTGTCTGCTATTTTAGCATGATGCTATTACTATCCACACAATCTGTATATTACTGCGTACATCAGTTAATAACATTAATCCAACAAATTAAACCCTCTAATTTGTATTTACCATTCTACAACATTCCCCACGACAATTATGCGAAAACATGCACGGCTTGAATTGTGGGAAGATAAAAAGTCACAGAAGACTACAAGTATAATAAACCCATTCAGATGAACGCAGTGAGACAATTAGAGATGTAGCAAACAGCCGATCTACCCTGTGTACAAATTAACTGACAATAAAAACCTTCAATTGATGCATTAAGAAAGTAAGCGCAATGAAACAGTTCGAAGGAACAAACTATTTTCATTGAATAAACACACTCCGATAAAGATTTTTCGTTCTTTTCGATCAGCTTAAGAAAATTTAGGAAAAAAACAAACAAACAAAAATAAAAATTAAATTAATTTATATTCTTTTTATTTAGATTTATCAGTAACATTTAGACGTCTATATCAGGTTGATGGGAATTATATGTTGATAACCGAAGACAAATTAAGTGTACTAATAAATTGCTCAAAAGACAAAAGGGAGACAAGTTTTCGAAATCAGCTATCTAAATCGTAACCAGATATGCAAGGCACCTGTTTAATATGTTGAAGTCAGATGAGAAATACCAGCAGAAATGAAAATTAATTTTTCAATAGATACAAGTACCTTTGTTATCAGGTATTCGCCCTTAGCCTAATTTATAAGAAAATTGTTGAGCAGTTATGGTTTCTAGTCTAAATATTTCTGGACCTTCACCTGTATAATGGAAACTACTGTTACTCATACTTTCATGCGTGCGGGTTATTGGAAAACAAGGGAAAAGAAAGTACTAAAACTAAAAGTAACCTTGTACATCGGGGTTTCCGTGCCACGGGGTCTCGTTTGTAGAGGGTATTTCTCTTGGAACCGGCTTCATAAATAAATATGTGACGAGCTGGAGAGAGTGAACGTTAGTTATGCGTACATAAAGTTTGGGCCAAGTATGTCGATGGCTCAAAGAATGAGTTTAATGAGTTTGGGCGCAGGTGCTCTTATTGGAGATAACAAGTGGTGGTATAGAAGAAAGGACCTTGTGCTGGAGCAGCCTCAGCTGCTATCAACCATTCCCTTTTTGGTTACTGAAGTATGTACAGGACAATTCGTTATTAAAAAAACTTTAGTTGAATAAACCACCTGAAGAGCAAATTTTACAATTCTTTGTTTCGCTCTTAGTTTTTGTTACACAAATAGTTAATGTAAAATAAAAGATGCACATGTAAGTGGTGCACATTTGATTTGGTTAAAAAAGACGGTGTGTTCCAAGTTATTCAATTGTGTCCATTTTTAATTCTCAAACTACTTAGCTACAACCGCTGACTATACAATTTTATTATACAAAAGTAAATTATATTTAAGTTGAAAGTTCTCCATCGTCTTCGATTCACAGTTCTTATGAAAGATGTTTTCCTTTTTCGTTTTTCTATATACGCTAAACAATAAATATCTTTGAGATTTTAAGAGGAAAAATTGTTTTATTTTGTTATGCTTGAAAGATATTACCTTCAGATGTGCCTTTTACTCCGCAAAACAAAATAAGTGCTTTATTTTTGTGAGTTAATTTGGTTCTTTGTGGAAAAATCTGCATGTCCATGCTTAAAATCTACACCTTCCTAAATTCCTGAATCTGAAACAACTAATTTCCAACTTCTGTATTTTTAGGACTCCTTATCATGAACTAGTCCAGAATCACCTTTACTCCATGATTCTGAATCTTCAGCCCAGAGTCTTGAGGCCTTCTTAAGTCCTCGTTTACGTTGTCTTGACTTCCAATGTGATGACAGTTGGTGTTTTGATATACCTTAGTTCCCAACATACATCCACATTATCCTATCAACGTCACTGCATCCGTCCATAAAAAGATTTATTTTGACCTCGTTCTTGTTTTTTTTTACAATTTTTACAAATTTTCTTCTGTTTCAGATATTTGACGAGGCATGTTGACAATGAAATGAGGTAAGTTATTACTTTTACCACCATTTTACTAATTCTACAATTACAGTGGAGTTGTAGGACTATCTCTAGAAAATAGTCAATCTTTCCTATTTCTTTAAGATATTTTAAAACATTTTCAGCAATTGAGTTCACCTAGGTTTCTACGTTTTTGTAATTTTCTTTAGTGTTTGCAAGGAACGATCCAAACCCCGGTCTTATTAATACAACGTCGACCTTCCCTTTGTATCGCTGGCAATGTAAACTCTCCCATTTTACTGTCCCAGTTCACACCAAGAGTATATTACTCCGTGGCTTTTGGTTATTGAAAAATGACAATTAGAATGGGTATTCTTTAAAGTGATAAGAAAAGTGTTCCTACAAAAAATGCATTAAAGTGACTTTTTAAGAACATTTCTTAAACCAAATCATTCTATACCTTCAACTAGATAAATGATCAAACATTGAAATAATCGTGAGCTGCATAGTTTTTGAAAATCATCAAATTCCTCTGCATAGTAAGAAACATCTAAAGCTCGTGTCAATATGCAGAATGCAGCCGCAACGCGGAAATTTCTTCAAGCAACCTTTCATATCAAGATTACAGGAAAGTGGAAGTGTTTTAAATTGATCCACGTTCTGACGACTTTCTAACCAAAACCCGATCGATTCCGAGGTACGAGGGACAGTGACTCTCACTCTAGCACTTGCCAGATCTTGTTTTAATTGAGGAGAGTTGTCAAGCAAACTCGTTAAGTAAGTCCTTATTCAGTGTTTTCTGTTTTAGATTTAGTGTTAATTTCATTAGTTAGGTTGTGAAATCTCTTGGTTGACTATTTTTCATCCTAAAAGAAATGGACTTTAAATTGCAATTTTGAAAATAAAAATACATTGTTATACAGTTTGTTGATACACAACAAGAAACTGGCAGAACACTTGCAGAATCTCTTTGGTCGTAGGATGCCATCGATATCCCATGCATTGACGCCCAATCACAGGAAAAAGAAGGAGGTGAAGGTTAAGCACCATAAGAACTATGCTACCTAAAAAGAGAATTGGTTTTTGAAGATGAAGAAAAACGGCGGATTTAAAAGTGGAAATATCCCGCACCGGTTAAAGCTATGAAACATCTCAACGCACACTGTATCTTTTGGGCATAGTGTGGGGAGTTATAGAGAAGAAACTTGCAGATTAGATCGGAGCTATGAGCTGTCAAACATTTGCAAATAATGTTAACATTTTTTAAATTAATTATGTTTGATAGTTAATTTTCATAAATTGTGTTACTGTAGTAGCTGTTAATCGTTTTCGTGATGTTTATGTTTTTAATAAAATTTCAGCATTTTTACTGCCAATGCTCTATTACCACAATACAATTTCGCCTAATACGCGAAATAAAATAAAAATAACGTCATTTCGAAGATGGATTCTCGTACCCATCGATTCATCTCGGTTGACACTTAACCCTGAACGTTTCCAAACTCAATTGACAATTTGCACACAATTTGTTATCGGATAACGTGAAATACGTTCACCGTCCTTCGTCCTTGATAGATAGTTCAGCAGTCATGGGAGACCGTACGCTCGCACTCGGCCTTGTCTAACTGATGGATCAGCTGTGTAGATGTCATGATTATTTATAGACGAATCTACTGGAGGTCGGTAGTTGACAAATAGTGAAACAGTCCCAGAACCTTGATAGTACCATTATAAATACTTAATAGATTGTCACCCTTAAATAAGCTGATAATAATTTTCAATCTTTAGGTTAGTTCCGTCAGGATGATGTCGATGGCGTTTCGTTCTTCACTGTTGTTGTAGTAGTTTACGCGAGTTGCGTACAACCTACGACAGTTTTTTAATTACTAAAAATCACTACTCATAACTATTAAGAGGGGTTATGTTTTCGTTTATAACCTCTCATTGCCACTGAGAGTGATGTAATGAAACATTGTACCAAACACTAATTCACCACTCAACAATTAAATTGGCCTGAACAGCTGATTAGTTGAAGTTGGAATCATTACTATTTTACTTCTCTCCCAATACTTGAACCTCATTGCTCTGTTACCCGTGTTATGAGTAAAACTATGTTGTTATGTAAAACTTTTAAATTCTAAGAACTGAAGTGAACTGTGGTAGGTTAAAGTTAATTTACTTACGACCGTTTTTTTTTTTTTTAAGTAGCCAGACGTTTTTTTTACACTGATGCGGAGGAGTGCCTTAGAGTCACATTTTTTCAGGGCAGTGTCCATAGTTGCATCATTTCGGATACCTCATTATAAACATGTTTTGCATCTTTTGGACGAATACCTAAAAAAAAAAAAAAAAAACTATACCGCGTATCGAATCAATTCCAGAAGCGTCTGTTTCAGCGGCTCTCACTTTGGCGCTGCATCTGCTAATAATTATTGTAGGAAGGAAACACGAATTCGTGCGATCTCTAGATAGTTCAGTTCCATTATGGCGGCGGAAACTGTTCTGCCAACTATCCCTAGCCGGGAAGCAGGGTTGCCAAAGCTTGCTGACGAAAGCCATTGTTAGCTGACGTAACATTTTCGTATGCTAGATGTAGGCTACATTGCACTGCCATGCAGCTACAGCATACTAGCGGTAGGTCAAGGTAAACTTAACCTCGCTGATCGAGGTCGTATTATTTAATATGTAAGACATTTGCTATCACGGTCTATTAAGTAGCAGCTATATACACAACCCTGTCGTTGGTTATGAATACGTAGAGATTGGAATTAATTGGAATTTTGATATGGTTGTGGCCAAAGACCGTATTAAATAGCGTGCAATTGAAACCTCAACCCCCTCCTGTTTTTCGTTTAGACAAAGTACTAGAAGTGTAAAGCAAAGTACAAAGGGAACCTGTGTTGCTGTTATGTACAAGGTGGAGTGCGGTAAATTATTAAGTACTTCAAATCCACGCTGTTGGTGTGGAGTGGTTTATATGTACCAAGTAAGTTTGTAAACATTGATGATTAGTTACAAAATGCAGTGCCTAAGGAGAGCTTATTTGAAATTTACGTTTATTTATAGATTTTCTATTCAGTTATATCAATGGAGCTTGCTTAATTGCAATTCGTGATTCCCCATATGCCATGATCTTGGATGGCAATCAACCATAATTTGGGAATGCTGACGAAGAAGACCTAAAAAAAAGTGTAAAAAATCGAGTGAGTTACAGTTGCAATACACTGCAATCTGCGCAAAGAAGATTATCTCTACAAAACTTATTCCAGTACCAACAAGTCAGAGCTATGGTTCCACAGGATGCAGAATCTCCACCATGCGGTGCATAATTTTTCGCAGCGGAAAATTACGCAGCGAAAAATCAGAGGGGTGGTTCTACAGACTGCGAAAATAACGTTGCGGAGATTCAGTTCTGTCCAAACTAGCGACGAGTATGGATGGAAAGAGGAAAACCCTTTTGGCTTTGATGCTATATGAATATGATGACATTGATGATGATGTTGTCGATCTTTTATCTTTGTTAGTGTCAAGTCGGGTGGTGTGACAACAGGACTGAATTTGACCTGGTCCGTTCTGGGTCCGCAGGCGCAGCCATGCGGATAATTTCAGGGGTGCGACATTAGGACTGAGGGAGATCTCCCTCACCGCGTCGGTTTCTTCCCGTTCTCCCGCGGCCAGCACCCTTCTTCCTACCCTCGCAGACACAGGCAAGAGAACTAATCACCTAATGGAGTCGTTCACTAGGTCGCTGAGAACGCATCACCTCATGGAATCGTTCACTTAATTGCTGCGTCGTGTTTTTGAGAGAACTCGACAGTGCAGCATATTCTTTCCAGTTCAAAACTAAAATGTTTAATCACTCTAACAGTTGTTATATCCATTAAATAATGAATAAAATATAGGCTCTATTATTTAGTAAGTTACATAATGTATAGTGAATGGAAAAACGAGGAGTAAATTAAAAAAGCTGTTTAGTTGTACACTGTCTTAAATATTTAAAAAAAATTGGCTACTATTTTCCGAATTCGTTTAGCTCTTCTACCCGACCGATTTTCATGATTGAGGTCTCAAATTGAAGGTATGCACGCACAGATTTGCCATCAAGCATTGGCATATAATTATCTATAGTCTCACTCGGTCTATACGTAAACGAAATTTGCTCTCCATGTATTTCTTATAGGAGTAAAATTTGGGTTCTCTTTGCCGAGTTCTAGCTCTTCTACCCGACCGATTTTCATGATTGAGGTATCAAACTGAAGAAATGCACGCACAGATTTGCCATCAAGCATCGGCATATAATTATCTATTATTCCACTCGGCCTACACGTAAACAAAATTGCTTCCCTTATATTTTTTATGGGAGTTAATTTAGGGTTTTCTTTTCCGAGTTCGTTTGGCTCTTCTACACGGCCGATTTTCATGATTGAGGTCTCAAAATGAAGGCATGCTCGCCAATAATTGACAAATATTTACCTACTGTATTACTCGACAAAAAACATAATTTGATATATTTTTGAGTTCTTACTACAATTTATGATGTATTTCACGAGTTACTAAACAATCCTATATATTTTAGTCTAAGAACCTCCAGTGAAATACCGCCTTTCATTTAAGCTATTATTTATTCGAATCGGACGAGTTTAAAGCAAACGTAAGGTGAACAACCAACAGAAATATTATTTTCCAAAAGGGTTTTCTATGATTAAAATCAATAGCTCCAGTATTGTGCATGTTTTTGTACATGTTTAAAACTAAAAATAATTAGTAAATTATAGGCTTTAATTTGAGCTATTGATCGTTTGAATCAGTTAAGCTCAAGATACTGTGTTACTCAATCAAAAATCATAAATTTGATTATATCTCGGATATTATATCTATCTTAACGCTGCGGAGCAGCATGGGTCCTCTAGTTTACTATTATTTATAAAATCGTTACTTGCATTAAAACCAGCTCAGTTTGGACAAACAAATACATTTAAATAGGGTATACAGTTTACCCAAAGACACTTTAAACTTTCACTTTACACTTTTTAGCCGGGGTATTT